TACGTCTATAATTGTAGAACAGGTAACAACTGAAAAACCAAACAACTTCTATACAATAGGTCAGATAAGACTATAACAATTACGTTGAAATCGAAACTAATATTTGGGTGTTTTACCGTGTGAGAAATATACCCTAGAATGTGCAATGTTCTCCTATTAATATATCATATTTGCCAGAAAATTCTGTTTATACAGATTAAGATAAACAATTTCAAGTTTTGAAACTTCCGCCATAAGGGCAAGCTACTTCGAACGCGCCATCCTTCAAAAAAATTCAAAAAATAATTCGACCGCTTCTTAAATGGTTATGTCTGATATACAGCATAACAATATACGGCTAGAATGAGTTCATATCCACCATATTATTCAAATATCATCGTTGACTTCATAGGTAAAGTTATCATGGTTACTTAGATATTACGTTATAATCGTAGATAGTAACTTATTGAATAAAAACAGCAACTGCGGTTTCGCTGTTTATGATAATTTATTACCTTACCTGGATCCTTATCGACTTTTTATAATTATTAGCATGTATGTACGCATAAATTTAGTGGTTGAACGGTGGCTTAGTTTTTTTTTTTAAAAAACTGTACGCTGCCGATACCGCCGATACAGATTATTGGCTAAAGGGATCTTTCTCGTTGTTTTTTTTTTTATGTTTGTGAGCATACTACATCGGCGGAATAGTCATGAATAAACACGACCCATGTACTTTTTTTTTTATACAGACTGCAGGTGCAAATAATAGTGCGTCATTCCACACAAGTGTTCATTTGTGTTAAGAATTGTGTCCCATGTACATGTACCCTTTGAAATATTCTTTAGTTAACTTCATTTAGTAGCAATCATTTCACGCGAAAGCTAAAATCTCTCCCCATACTCTCGTATACTTATTTTTACTATCCCGGCCACCCGTGGCACCGTCATAAAGTACTAGCGGAAAAAATGCATCCCTATATCAAAATGCTTCACGATTTTTACACTATTCGAACTCAATATCAGCATAAGTACCATCATAATTACATGAATTCCATTATTTTCAAATCCAAGTTAAATATGTTGACTAAAATCTTGTACCTAAAACGCTCAAATAATTTACCTCACACGGGTGTCAAAGACACCTGGAACGTCAAACGTCTCACTTTATAAAAATGGAAACATTGAGACATGTACTTTCCCAAAACATCTCGCATCTTCTTAGGCGGCACCATTATGTCAAAAAAAAAAAAAAAAAATTAAATAAACAATACGTAAATATTACTTCAGCCTTGCTTGAAATGGACCAGGAGTTGATCCATTAACGGCACATATTTCACAACCTGTGTGAATAAGGAACAAATATAAATATTATTTAGACCCCATGATGACGACGACGACGACTTTTTTCGAATGATAATAACTGATCTTGCAATCACCATTTGCGACGTACTCTTCCTGTCATCGTAGCTAATCTTATGTTTACTAGAGTCAAAGGCAGATGTGCTGACTAAAGGAAAAGATTTTCTCAGCGTCTAGCTAGCGTAACGCTAACCATTAGATCCGATTTCGTGAATGAATATGCTAGTAGTGAGGAAGGGCAGTTAAATTAGAGTGTACCGGCATATGTGACAAAGAAATGATCCGGCAGAAAAAACTCCATGTTGCATCACTGTGGAATCGCATTCGGACTATCGAATAATGGCCCATGTTTTTAAGCGCCACTAACCGTAGCAGCAGAAAGTTTCCAATAGCGTGCTCTACCTTCAGCAGTGAATCCGTAGGATTAGGGCTGCAGCTATTTAGCGTATCATGAATCTTTATTAGTAAGGAAATTCTTAATATTATGGTTTCAACAACGACGCAAATTTATTTGTGTCGTTGTGTGCCAGGTGGCTTGCCTCGATCGGTACATAGAAAAATCGGCTTTTGTCCTATGGACAAAAACATGCCTTCCGTTTAATCCACGTTGTATGCCAAGCCGGGGAGTAGTGGTACCAGTGGTGCGTTACAACAAGAATAATAATTAAGGTATATTAACATAAATAATTAGTATCTACAGATGAGAACACTATCGTTACGAAGATCCGTCATAGTATATAACGACTGTATTTAGTGCTTTTCATGATGCTGCCTAGATAGACGAAGCGTTGCCCCCAATGACGTCTACCCTATACTGGATCGATATTATCGCAAGTGACCGCTCAAACACCTGTCGGCCACGAGGAGAGATCATTAAAAGGATTGACGCTATCCCCGAACTCAATCGATCATACAGCAGAGTTGTCCTTTCAAAACACCACGCATGGGCACATGCACCCCACCCCACCCCCACCCCCCACCCCGCATTAGCGATTATAACGAAATCTGAAGAGTGATACGCACTCAGTCCAAATGAACGTAACGAAGTTCAATTATTACAATCATCATTTCATTAGATACCATCTGTATGTTTGAACAGAGTTAAATACCTCCATAATACATCAATACACTATAGGCTATACACGGTTAGCTCACTGTGCGCCTCGCCATCAGCAAGAATACCTGCCCGACATCAACAAGCCCACAAGTGGTCCAGTCATATTGTTTAACGTATAAGTTACGTCATATATATATATATGTGCGTGCGTGTGTGTGTGTGTGTGTCTGGGTGGGTGGGTGTGTGTGTGTTTGCGTGTGTGTGTGTGTGTGTGTATTCCATCAAAGACCGACTCGTTCCATGCCTAAAGTAGAAAATCGTCCAAATCACCAACTGGGCAGCAGTACGGTCAAAGGGATAATAATCTTGTTGAATCGAATAGCTACATATTAAACATTTCGCTGTTGTCCGCACTTCTATTTGTAATAAAAAATGAAGAAATTATATCGCCAGGTTTATTTCTTAGCCTTGCGATATTCGCGTACGTTACAGACGTCACCCCGGGCATTGGAACTGAAGCCGAGGTTATAGTCTTGGTGCAATACGGCTCGAAATACCGATTCTTCAACAGGTTCTCGCTGAAGGCTTTCTTCTGCCGATGAATACATTCCATACAGCGTCGAAACATCTGGAATTGAAGCCGGGAGCTCATACAATTTACGAGTGCATTGTTCATTCCTGCAATCAAGGCAGACCAATATGAGAGACGATATTGTAAATGGAAAGCACTAGCCATCAATATGCACAATTCGTTTCTAGTTAAGTATATACAGCACCGACAGGTGTTAACACTCGAGGGTAAATAAAGATTTAAGCTTTCAATGCATCGCTTAATTACATCTCGTCCACACGACATAGTAATGTTCAACAGGTACAAACCTGCAATAATGAACGGGCAAAGCCGGCAGACCTTGGATGAATTCTCTGAGTAAAAAAATCTGCTCTCGAGAGCAGCCTTCATAACCCGCGGCTGGCGACCATTCTCCGTCATCGAGGTCGAGGCCTGCGCTCCCCACGAAGCGATACACAAAACCTGACAAAATCCGTTCGGTAATGCCGAGGGTCGCTGCAAGGAACTTTTTGCAGACTCGTATCTGGATGCGCATGAAACAGAAAATAAGCCAGTAAATACGATTGCTAGAGATAGGTATGTTTTGAGTAGCAGATTACGCGTCAAAATAAGTTACCGTAGGATTTAAGATATTGATTGTATTAATGTTAATCTATCAAGATACTACCAGATATCATAGTTGGCTGGCAAATCAATAAATATAATCTATACCTCTAGTATTTTCATATAACTAATACTAATTATAATATTGTAACTAGTGTAGACGGCATATCTGACATATATACCTTTTGCATGTTGTCGTCAGGCTGCGGTAGGAAGTAAAGGTAGACGAAGGTTCGATTTCGTGTTGAAGCCATCGACTTTGAGCTCACTTTCGGGATTGCCTTATCGATGCAATGTCTCTCCATCCACTTTTGTTGTTCCTGAAAAATCGAACGGCCCAAACAAACGCAAAACATACAAAAAGGGAAACTCTCAGTGGCAAGATTAAATCTACGATTGTTTAAGGGTAATGCTTCTCGACGGAATAAAACGACTTTTGTTAAATTTACCTTCGGCATCGATTCACATCTATAAAACTGCAGCCTACCATCATTAGTACTACAAATGTCATTACTATCCGAACGTCTATATTCGACGTTGTCTGGTACTATATCTGCTACTATCCAAGAAAAGCCTCAATGCACTTCACGATCTCTCTAACAAAGTGGTCCTCAAAAATCTGATGGCCTTAATTTGAATTAAAGCAAAGTCGAATTATGTCGTCAAATAAGCGTTTCTCCATCTCTGGGAAGAGATCTGCATGTTTCACTACCCATTCCAATCCAATGCAATATACAGCTAGTGTGAAACAAGAGCTGTGCATTTCAATGCGGTCCCAAACATCTCCCATCAGGCCACAGCGATAAAATAAACCTACTTGGCCTGTCGTCACGCGTAGACGAGATCGTTCCTTCGCCCAGGAGTAGAGCTTTTATTTTTATTTCTCTAATGTTTTTTGCTAATATATTCTATAGGTTGATGCTGCCCCTAATCATCGTGAAGATCATACATACTAGTTTCCTATATGCTAACAAAACATGTAAGTTGATCCACTTTTTCAGTCACTTTAATGTTGTTCAAAATTAGCAAAATTTTGCCATAAAAGTGATCGGAAAATTTGAGCAAATATACCTCCGAACCACTCGCGAGCGCCCAGTAAATATCGTAGACGCGAATTCTCTGATCCTCCGTAAATTTTCCGTTGCATCCATTTGAGCAATCATTACCACAAGGTGACTCACGTATTAACCTAAAAAGTAGCATATATACAATAAATATTTTTTGTTATCTGTACATGTGGCCAATTCTGTATATATACGAGTGCCACTAGCCGTTTGATCGCTAAAACTGTTTTAATCATTTCGATTTTTCTTAAATAACATACAAGGGTGCCCCTCTCGTGTTGAGCACATTCAATCGACTCAACATGTGTTTTTCACTATGATAAATCCTGTAAACCTTTTCTTTTCGGTAGCAACAGGCTCCTCTTTTTGGTCCACATCCATCTTCTCGACATTGTCGCCGACACCTATGTTTACATAAACGACATCAAAACAAATCCATTTCTTGGTAATTCAGGTATACAAAGAAACTAAACTTACTATACCCGAAACAGTGTGTGACATTGACCCCGAAATATTCGTGTGCATAAATTACATTTTTCAAGAACAGTTTTTTCTAAAGAGCTCACATTACGGCTGCACGAAGGAGCACTTTGCCATCTACACTTTTGGGATCCAAATAGTTAACTTTGGCCGATATGCAACGTGAAGTTTAAACGAATACATCATTTCACAACAAAAAAAAAGGGCATCTTAAACATTTTCTTGAGATGAATGTGGCTAGGAGCAAAATTAGGCCGAAAGATTTAAGAAATTATGAATTAAACTCTTCTGACCTGCGTCTTTTTCATCGCCGCCTGTTTTGTTATCTTCCGTTGACTCGTTACTTCCCGTGACGGAGGAGGGCTCGGTACCATTTTCCTTCTCATCCAAGGATTTGTCGTCGCCATCTTTGCCCCGCGCTTGGTCACCTGTCTTAGTATCGAACTTATCCTTTCGCTTGACCTCCGGCTCGTCACATTTTGCGTCTGTGTCCTGCTTGCTGTCCTTGATGCCTTTATCATCAGTTTTACTGTTTGTTCCGTCCTGTTGATCAATATCAACAAAAAAAATAAAGCGAACATCCCAACCCATGAGTGATGGAAAGTACTCACCATCAACTTTGCTATTAAGTCCAATTGAATTCATTCAAAATGAAAGCTATAGGAATTGTATAGCGAATAATTATAAGATTTTATAAGGCGTGAAATATATTATAATATGATCTTGTCTAAAACCATAACGAAGTCCTTCATCAGGCCATTAGGTGGCGACAAGATCCTAAAATAACAATAAGATAAATTTATCACGGCAAGCATAGAAGCTATTAAGACCGGATAATTAAGACTGAAGAACCTCGTTTACGGAGCAGATTATAAACCATCTGTCCTCCCGCTTACCAAATTTTACGTATGATCTCGGACTATGAGATGACCTTTTTGAACTGGCTGATGCGCGATGAGGATACAATCGCCAGAGACGGTTCGACATTAGACGACGTTGCGAAGACGAGGTTGATTATCAGCAAGTTAGACGCTTCCTCATTGAAACCCTTCTTGTCTATCTCTATTGCCCCAAAAACCTTTGAAGTTTTCGAATAATGACACTTTGGCTACGGGTACCGAAAACATTTTTTGACTCTAATTTGTTCTTTTAAAATCGTCAAACCAAAAATTATGATACCGCATTGCAATAACAGTAGTTTAAATATTTTTAACGAATACGCGGGGACAGTTAGCCGTCTTCAAAAGATTGCAAGAATGTCCATAATATGTTCGAACCAAAGGAACTTTTTATTCTGGATGGTGGCCTGAATAAACCTGAACATGAGGACGTGACTAACTTAAACCGAATGCAACCTTAAAAGAACTGTACACTCATGCACGTCAATTCATGCTGCTTCACGCCGCTTGTTGCATTGTCGTTGGCGACAAGGTCAATCCGATTCAGACTCATAAGATTGGTGCATGATGAAAGAGTCGTGGGTTCGTGCTACTATGGATAAGCAATTTAGGTCCTTGCCTCCATATCCATATTCTAGATGCAGTGGCAACCCCTGGCATGTGGAATGCACCTACAAGAACACATTTGCAAACGTGTAATATCGTAGGTCATAACGACAGGTATTGCCCTAAACATTCAGAATTACGTCATAAGACACCTAGTTATCGCCAAATATTTAGATAGGATTTAAGCTCCAATTCTAATACCAATTATATGCAGGCATTCGACATAAGGACAATAAGGCTAGAAGTACGTCCACCGCATTGGCAAAGAATCTTGCCGGATATAGTCAATAACAGTTATTATAGCTAACGGATAGGTTAAGACATGAAGTTCGACGTTACTATTATAAGCAACAACGTTTAGGAAAGTAAGTCAGCCGTTTCTCGACAGCAGACATAGAACCTGCGTTACGACTCAAACAACATGACCTCGAATGATACCACAAGCTTTGTGGAGTGGTACACAATCGTGACTGTTTGGTTTCTAATACTAGGTATCCGTAATTTAGAGATCATTTTGAATCAAAATGGTCCTTAAATTACCGATGAGCCCCTCTGAGGACCCTAAAGGTCATGATTCGGCACCTAGTCTTAGCAACATGGTGAAAATGTTCAGCAAAACGGCAGCTAATGGCGTATTTGAAGCGGAACCAAGCGATAATGTTCAGCCTTCGGCTCAGAAGAATCTCTAAAAACGAATCAATAGCAATTTTTATTAAAGCGCGCCTCGTATCGTGCACTGTTCGTCTACGAACTGAAGACGGTTCGAACTCCAAACATTGATAAACTGTGCTATTTTAAGCCACGTAACTTCTCTGAATGGACAACACCGATTGTTGCCCAGGGACAATCAAAAGATTCAAGACTTCGCGCTGACGACTATCAACAGGCCTACATGATGCTTTAGCTGACCATTATCACCTATTTCCTGTTCCTGATAACATATTTACAAAATTAAACAGAAGTCGCTATTGATTTAGCATAATATTTTTACGGTTAGAAGTTAATAGAGACTCAAGATCGCTTCAACGATCAACACACCAAGAGAATTTATCCGGCTAACATTCGATATCAGACTGCGTCCCCACAGTTTCAATAGTTGATAGGCCCAGTCATTTCAGGTGAGGAAAATGTTTCAATTGAACATAACCAAAGAGTGAAGCACGTGCAAATGCCTCCTTCGGCATAGCTAAATCTAGGTACAATGACACCGTGGACGGCAGGAAACCGGGCACGAGAAAGATTGAAACCATCAAATGCCTGCACTCATTCGTTTCGGAGTTCTCTGAAAACGCAAAACTATATCAAGCTTACGTAGCCGTTTGATGAAAAACTGAAAAAGGACTCAGGCTTCTCATGCGCAAGACGATGTCAGAAAAAGCTTAGACAAAATGAAGAAATTCATTTTTTCTTACTTGTACCATCTCGTTACAATCTAACTCTTCCTCTAATCGTGAGAATCAGTGCACAGCAGTACGGTATCGGCACTGTTATTCCGCATAGATAGCCGGATGTCACCGCAAATGGTCCGTCTTAGCCGCTTTCCAGTTTGTAACAACTACTCTCAGAAAAAAAGGAGACGCTTGCAGGAAATTCACACAACGGTGGCATTTTACTTTACTGACACTTTTACAAAGGAGCATAGAAAAAAAAAAAAAAGAAAAAAAAAACAGTTCGTACAGCGAATAACAGTGGGCGACTATATAACTGAATCATTGCTCTAAAATCAATACGAGACGATTACTGAGTTCGGATAATTTTTGAATGTCAAGTAAAGCTTCGAAACAGAACGACAGTTATCGCATCCAAAAGTGGCTCTTTTAATGACTAAAGCCAATTGCGTATTTGAATGTTCAATACAATACCTTTAGGTCAAAATGGTTTGAACTGGCAGATTATTGTACAGCCTGAATAGTAACTGGAACTAACTTTACTCACTATCACTAAAATATATACTGATAAACAACCGAATCGTCACTCCCACGAAATGGCGCCGAAATTATTTTTGAAGATCTACACCGAACGCATCCCGGCTCAACGAACATAAAAAGAACAACTATAGTTCACGTGTATTGGTCGCGTATCGGCCAGGATATGGACCACCTGGTCCGCAACTATGAAGAGAATATAGATGAAGTGAAGGGCAATAACCCTGCCCCCTTCCTGAAAAAGCTTCTTTCGAAATGGTGCGCATCCAGTTCACTGGGAAACCCTTAATTTTAACAATTTTTATTCTAATAGCCAGAGCCGTACCTTATGAATAAAACGATGACAATACGTGCTTTAAAAGCTATATTGAATCCAAGAGCGCTTGTGTCCAGCAATGAACCCTAGTTTTAATCAAAAACAGCTTGTGAATTGTCAGATGCGGTTCATATGTGGACGCCCGCGCTTCGCCCACAGCGAAGTGGACGAATGGAAAGTTTTGTTGGGTTATTCAAAAGAGGTCCAGTAAAACAGTGACAACGATATGACGTTCATCGAACGATGTACCCATCCCTTCAATTATATCAGTAACTATCCTCAATAAGGAGGGAAATAACTTCTCCCAAAACAAAAACCCAGAACACAACTTGACATATTAAAAAAGGAACGACACAGAGGCGACAAAAACACAAAACGGTTGTCAAAATATTTTTCTAGAGAGGGCTGATATACGCAAAGAATTATAGATCGACACGACTTCACTTCGGACTACGTACAAGCGAATCGGAAAGATACTTCATGAAACACTGATTCATGGACTTCTAAACAGAGACATGCACGCACACACACACACACACCTATCTTGGGCTAGAGCAATCCCTGCAACCCCTAACATCAACACCCGTATCGTTAGTCGAAAAGACTCAATACAAGTTAGCACACCATCTAAGTAAATGTTTCGAATTTTATGCTTGATACTACTGTTAAACACTGCTTCGGACGACTGGCTCCCAGCACGGAATGAAATGTCTACGCCGAGTTCCAAGCCTAGGCCAGCACGGATCCCTAAGTTTAGTAGGCAAACACGCTACCCACAGCGCTATCACGAGGACTCTCGAACCACCTAACCGATTGCAAGTGACTGAACAAGACAAAACATGTAATTGAAGGTAGCCGTTTACCTAATATTTACGAAGAGAAGGTATAGGAATATTGTACGACAGATTGTAGCACAAATATAAAAAGCGCCAAATATATTACAACATTATCTCGTCCAAAATTGTAACGAAGTCATTGCTTAAACAACTACAACGATTTTGTAAATCACCTTGGTTACACCCGTGTCGTTCGTTGTCACTTGGCTCGCTCCGGCTGCCGTGGGCGATGTTCCTGTATTCTTCTCAGCGCCAGCACTATTCTCTGTATCATTGTTATTGGAGTTATTTGTGTCCATCGGGGTGCCGACTTCGGGTGCTTGGGTACTTTCAGTCATTACTAGTTTGACAAATAATTATCGGAGCGAATCAGCAAGACCGCTAAAGAACCTAGTTAACTGTAGAGCTTATTCGCAGAATCAGTTCACTACGATAGCTGAATAGTCGAGGTAGAAAGGGGCGATTGGAACAGGGGCGAATTCGTCGGCAGCACACGCCAGGTACTAGGCTGGAATCGACTGTAGCTACTGAAAACTTGCTATGACTGAATACGATAGGCGTTTTCCGGATATTTGGGTCTCCTGAAAAAGAGCAACGATACTACGTCATTCCAGGTGTATTGCAATGAATGAAAACATGCTAAAAGCGAATGTTGATGCTTTTTATACATTTATGTCGTATAGAGTGTAGCTTATCGCAGCTACACTGGTACGGATCCTGTTCGGAATTAATATACAGCTTAATGGGGAACTAATATTGCCTCGAGCATTTGATCGTGCTGCCAAACATTTTTACGGCAACACAAATCCTTATAAAGCAGTTGCCGGTATTCTTATAACGTAGTGTTGCCACACACGTGGTCTGTTTACCATATAACACCGGCAACAATAAAAAGGTACAAACCAAAGGCGCCTGTGTCCTCGCACGACCTGAAATTGGTTTTAATACTTGTCTATCTATAATACAAGGTCACTGTCGCAGCTTTTTTCAAAATCGATGCAAACACCGACTTGGCTGAAACAATATACCGGAAACAGGTAACGCAATAAGACTATCACATATAACTTTCATATCGGAATTTTCTCCTAGACAGTTTTATTATGAGGTGTTTGTGACATCTCTCGATACTCTTGTTCATATCGTGTGTCAGTAATAACAGCAGTTTACTGTTTACTGCACTCCATTCATGTAGTCCAATACTTAGCATGCAATTGTTGCAATAACTGGCATATCTTCATATTTCATGCTGTCATTTTTCGCAACGCATAAAATAATCAGTCTTGCAGAATAATACTTCCAAATATTCATAGAAGAAACTCCACACAAAGAATTTTTAGGCGACGAAATCTCATCTAAAGTAAGTCAAAACGCATTATCTGTTTCTGCTATGCTAAAGCAATGCACGTACGAGCGCGCAGTTCTCCTCCGACTCCCCAAAAATGTCTTAGAGAAAAATTTGAGTCATGAGTTTCTGCGGTGTGTCTAAGGCGTCGACATGAGCTCGACGACTATATAATATGGCGTAAAAACTTCCAAATAAAGCACTTACAACATAGAATCCCCCCCTAATTATGATACTTACATACATACATTCATCATAGATACACAACATGGCGCTGCGAACACCAAACAACCACTGCAAGCGCCACTACCGGTCGATGGTCGATGCCGGCTTATCGATATATATATATGCTTTGGCCGAGCGGTAACTAAATGTCAAAATAGTTCCCTCAGCGTGGGATAATATAAGAGTAGTGTTTATTTTAACGCAAGTCGACCGTCATAATAGTAACACTCACACAGTATGTTCTATTAGGATATCACTTCCGACAGATACTGGTTTTATTTACGGACAAAAGCCGGTATTAGAAAGGCGCTGAAGTTATAAAACGAGCAGAAACATCCTACGAAGCAACAACATCGCACACACGTATGATATGCTAACAACAAGCAAAAGTAAGTGTTACAGTTAGCGAAATTGCAATATCGGCACTAAGTGACCAGCCAATCGTAATCGCACTGGTAACGAAGACGGCCCGAAACACACATACACTTAAGGCATCATCGTTGGCCCCACAGTCGTCTTTTGTTCTTACCTGTATCGCCTGTCCCCTTAGAATTTGCGCACAGCCGAATACCGCGAGAATAGAAGCAGTATTATCCGTTCTGAAAACGCGTGTTAATAGCTATTTGACGCTAAGAAACTGGAAAACGCTGCTATCGCGGGTCATCGGCAAAATGCACTTACCCGAGAGTCTTCGAAGAGGACTCGAACCGGCGCCGTCTTTCCGCTGGCAGCCGGTGCCAAAAAGCAGAAGCACATCACAAGACAACCGTACTCCAACAGCCGTACATCAAAACAACACACGCGCACACACACACTCACACCAGGGCACACACATACACACACACCCAAACATGGGGTGAGAACAGAGAACTTCAAAAACAACATCAACATAACACAGTTAGGAGCTGGTAGCGTTTGGTTGTCCTCCTCCTCCTCCTCCTCCCCCTCCTCCTCCTCCTCCTCTTCGGTGACGATGTGCGAGGCGGCCGCTACTACGGGTCGACATGTTACAGAAATGCCTATGTTCACCGAGCGCTAACAGTTGTACCAGCACAATAGGGAGCACTCGACGAGCAGTAGAGTGCTCTTCTGGACGAAAAAAAAAGTAAACACTCAAGTGGGTTTTGCTCCTCTCCTGTACTTTTCACTTGTAGTTGATATAAGATGTCGTCTGCTTTATTGACTAGCGGGTGGTTGACAACGAGCTTCTTCTTTTTGATTTTGCTGATGGCGGGCAATACGAGAGTTCAAAGAAAAGGAACACCCGCAACATAGACAGCATAGGATTGACTATCTCATGCGCCTCACTATTTGAATTTTGTTGTTCTGCAATACTTTGATATTAATAATCTGTTCCAGATACAATAAGGTTCAAGAATGAAGTAAACTGCAAAATTGCGAGTTGGGAAAAAACTGAGTGTTATTAAATAATACAAGTACCTTTGGAGAATGTGGAGCAATCGACTGGGCTAATCTTTCGTTTACCTTCCCTCACCGCTTTTCAACCTATATATTTGAGATTACACTCTAGGAGCAAATTATAAGTAAAGTGCCGAAGAAAAGATACAGAGCATGGAGCCTAAACTAAACACTGATGATTTGATCACATTTACAATTAAATAATTAGTTTAAGCTAGTAAAAATGCGCTCGCGGAGTTTACTACCGTTGTGAATTACGGAGTACTTTTGCAGCAGTAAATACTGATGTGTGCAAAAGTCTGCTTCCGTAAGCAATGGTTAACAAATTCTTTCAACTTTATCATTGGCCCCTGAGAAGCCGGCCCTTATGGAAAGCTTTTTATTAAATTTGTTTGCTTAGGTTGACGCTTTGCCGGTAACGGTCTAGAAGTTACACAAAATGTCTGAATGCACCTCATACCCAGTTGGCGCCCAAGTCGTGAAAGTCACTGAAGGCAGATACTGCTTCTAGGTGTTTCACTACGCAGAAATCAATGCGTTCTTTCTATCTTACTAATTACTATAGCGCGCAAGATAATGCTATTTATTCGGTTTGTATACAATCTATCCTTCATGGCTACTTTTCTCCGTCAAGAGTGATCTGGATTGTGGAATAACAAAACAGTGATATATTCGAATTGGCGTTATAGATTTCGCTCGGAAACAAAGTGTTTTAGCACCGAGCCGCTTGGCTATGTCCGCACACAACAATGGACTTGTTTAAAGCAACTTGCCACGCGTATATATCAATTTACAACAATATAGTTAAAGACAAGACTAGTTATGAAGCATGTCTTCCTTTTTTATTCTGATTACGATTGTCTCAATTTTATAAAAGTTGCTAGATGTCATCCGTCAGCTGCGCTAGAAGTTTGCACTCTAGAGCACCAAAAGGAAAATATTTTCAAACGAAAGCCGTTTCATTCTCTTAAACGTGGAGGATGCGAACGTCGTGATACATATTGCGGCCAATACGAACGCATTATTTATTTCGCCGGAGTGAGGTAGCTGTTTTCTCTGTCCTTATTCTTCACTTCGTTCCTTGTCCCCCGCCGGGATAGCAGATCCTCTACGCAGACATATCATACGTAATCATGAGTGATCTAATATCTGAAAGGAGTGCGCGGAGTACTTGATAAAATGAGCAAACATTGTGGCAACAAATAAATAATTAATACGGCTACCATAGTATATCGTAGATTTTATTGTAGGATATTACGCATAAAATATATGAATTATTGCATACATAATACTCATGAATATTTTAAGAAGTACAAAAACTTGCTAAAAGAAATTATGCCTTTCTATCGTTAAACGGGACTTGCTGTAACAGTAGGACCTGCATGTTTTGAATGAAATAACTGACGCAATCATATGCTTTTGCGGGCATTATGAGCTAACGAATGCTAGTGGAGGAGGGTCTACTTTTTTACACCTGGTTCTCATTTGTGAAGGCTGAGCGTACGGACTTGTGAAGCAATACACAGTTTAGATATGTCCTGTTTAATATTAATCCCCAAAACTATACTGTTAGAAACTTGTCACAGTATGCCTGTGTGTTTTTATCTAAATCGAAGCTGATGTATCTAATTATAGTTCACGCTCAACCATGAGCCAGTGTGGATGCAGGAGGCACATCTTTCTCAATCACTCACCCTCAAAATAGTTAGCTGAGTTTCGGTTTATATAAAGCGATAGTGGGCTAACAAAAAAAATTTTAATACCTTTTTATCAGATGTGTTGCAAGGACAATCGCGTGCAGAACGATAAAGCTCAACGCAAGCATGCTGAATTTTCAGTCATAGATTTATTTCATATATACTTAATCCTATGAGGGATAGATAAATGACATTTTTACATGCCGGCTAGGCCGTGGAAGTAATCTTGTTATAGAATAATTGAAATAGCATAAAACTTCAATAATAATAATAATACTTTCTTGGCGCACTACGACTGACTTAAATTTAATGCGGGATAAATCTTCAAGTTTATCGTCCGGCAACGTCTACATGGTGCAAGACAAAACGCAGTGTGTCTGCATTCAGATTCCAATCTAAACCACCACATATCCCCTAAGTTTTACTCACGGCAAACATGCGACCCACTACACTATTACGGGAACGAAATGAATTTGGACTGGCGCTTTTCCTTAGTGCCTGGGTTACATCGTACGTAATATTAAAGATATACCTTCTTTTCGTATAGATAAGAAAGGCTGATTACTACCAAAAGAGAAAGTTGTAGTGAAAAAATAGAGGCACGCCTAGGTAACAACGGGAAAGTTACTGTGATGGGAGAGCTGTTTTTTTCTAGTAAAAAGATATTTTATTGACAGATGCGCTGCAAAGAATAGTTACAACGAAAATTTCAGCTAGCCATATGCTTTGTCCTAGTTGACGACGGTCTCAAAACTTAAGGAAAGGTTAAGACAACTGGACATGGAGACGAATGTCAATAATTATTCATTTCAAAGTTAGACCAAGATCCGAAATAGGGCATCGTAACACGTAGGTGGACGCTCCAACGCGCAGTTTTGTGTATAGATGCTCTTGCTTCTACACCAGCGAAAAATTTCAGATGAAAAAGAACCTATTATCATAAGGTATAGCTTTTTTTTTTTTTTTTTTTTTGTTTCACAAGTTCTTGTTTCACAAGAAGACGGTTCGCCGGCGTGGCCGCCATAAAAAAGCAGAAATCCAGCTTTAGCTTTAGTAGTTGCAGCGACAGAAGACAACTGCCACGGATAATGTTAGAGTTAGGACATTGAATTCTACTTACGAATCTTGAAAATAAAACTACAGTTGAACGTTAGTAAACCAATTCGTTCGGAGGTCAAGTTAGTAGTACAAAAAGTGCATGGAAAATTATATGAACGAAAAGTTTGTCTAGAAAAATACAACTACATCCGTAAGGCGAAAGTGACTGCCGGAGAGAATTCCAAGAGTACAGGCAAGATCTTTGCAACGAGACAATTTCCTGACAGCTCTTCGAAAACATCAAATAGCTCAACCATACTCTACAGAAAGCTTGAATACTTTTAATAAACCTGTACAAAAGTTGTCGACTTACAGAGGATGGATTCCAAAATTTCGGGGTCGTTTAAGGCAACGCATGTAAAGGCGCGCTGACTTGCTAATCGCTCATCAAAATGATGTGTCTTTCTTGGGGTTTCATCTTTCCGTCCCGTTTTCAGATCTCTACCTGATCAGTAGGCTATCGCCCTAATCTACAAATTCTTTCATAAACGAATCGTAGGTTCTCACAGAAATAGCATTTACTTGTCAGAGCAACTCTTATGTAGTTTGTTTCAAAACATATTTTCTTAGCAGATTTTGGTACACCGAGTATGTAGTTAACTACATTCGTACTCTAAGTACCAACTAGTCTAAGTTTGCAGTGATCAGTTTTGATGCGGGGGCTTAATAAGAGAAATATTGAATATCCGTTAGTTTTGTTCAACTTAAAGAATTGCTTTTATTTCAAAAAGGATCAGGTGTTGTTGCGGGACAACTATCGTAAGCTATAGCTAAAAATTATGTGATAACTATATTCTTGAATATCTGAAACGAAGATTTTAAAGCAACTGAGAGTTTTAGATTATGGCACATAAATGGCTTTATCGCAGCAACCAGTAAAGAGGGCCAAGGATGAGCGCAATGTTTGAGGATAAAGACAATCTTAAACTATAAGGGAATTGCGGCCTACGTTACAGAGGAAACAGTGGGCTGAAGGAACGCGTAGCAGCGAGGGTCGAGCCAAATCGGTGTTCCGGAGCTTGGAAAGGTCCGCTAAAAGACAGACGCAGGCCTTATGGAGCTATCAAATACTAAACAGAGATCAGCAAATGCGGGCTGATGAACTCCAAACCGCCTCAAGCTTGGCGTGAAGATAAATAGTTCCATCTTTTTTTAACAGCTACATAATTTTTACTAAATTATAGTGAACAGCTTTTTGGGAAGAAACTTTTAAAATGAAATGTTCTTTTAGACACAAATCTTCGGATTTTTCCATGCTTTTCAGCAGACTTCAAGGAAAAAGAGAAGGCTCTTCTGCAGTGTCCAGCTAACGTAGATTAGAAGACATCTTCGTTGAAGTCCGCGGCCAGGAATAATGGTTCGCAGGACTCGAGAGTTATTGAGGATTGTTTTTCTTGCAATTGTAATTAGCGACGCTACAGAGCGAAGGAACATCCGAGTGATTAAAGGGCAGAGCAGTCCGAGAAAGCTCTGTACATGTGACTGGTTGCGTGGGTGTCGTAGTCTAAGCCTAAAAAAAACTGAGTAGTGGTTCGACAAGCCAAAAGGAAGGTAGGTGTTAAGAATTCGACGTTTCAGCATTGTGAACAGGCAGCCCAACCACAGTTAGGACAAATGCCAGAGTGAAATCTGGCGAATGTGTCTGTTGCTTAAGCCTAGAAACCTCAGCTTATGAAATTACCCTTTAGCGCTAGGACGTCATTACCAGAAGCCAATAAGTTGGCATTAATATCTCCAATGACAAAGGTCGGATACTCGGTAGACTGAGATAGAAGACAGACTAGACAAAAAATACCAGCTACAGTGAGTTTCTTCGATAGTTAAAATTAGAGCAAATGATTGTTACCTGGATACCACATCCTCTGCATTATACAGTAAAATTTTAAGTAAAAACATTTGATGGTTATGATTATTACTTGAAGACCATTGTCGAGACACATTGCTACTCGCAGTCACTTCGTCTCTATATATTACACAGTACCTTAGTGATGAAGAATAGAGAGGCGCCGCACGGCACCATACATCGGACTCGTAAATGTAAAACAAAATTAGAAAGGCCTTGTCGTATCTCCCATCCGCTCTCCACGTACTGATATTAATTCAACTCCGAAAAAGGGTAAGATAGCAATTTATTTAATAGGGAATCATATTCAATAAAAAAAAAGAAAAACAGAATCAAAATATCATAGCAATATTTGCTGCGAAGCATGGTGTTAGCAAAATGCGGGATTATTTGGCCCTATCACACAGATATGGCAGCATTATTAAAACGTATTACTATCACCCGTAATAGACTACAAAGCGTAATATGCTTTCGGCGCCATTTCAAGCGCCAGACGCCATCGAACGCCTGGACTCGTCGTACATGCTCTAGCATTTTTGAGCGGGATAAACTACTAGAAGATACAAGAAATAATTTCCCCAATGAATTGTCCGAGCTAGCTATGTTTGCCTATTGTTCAGTTGGTGTTCAGTGATTTTGTTTATATTCTTGACAAAATTCCAGTTGGCATTCGTTTTCCAAATTCTATTTTCTAAGAATGTCCGATTCTGTATCGCTGGATCTTCATTGAACTACCCGTTTGTAACGGTGCTTTTTCGAAAATTCAAATACTTAAGGCAGCAACGGTGGCTTACGCGGATTGTACGTTTGAACCAGACTTACGTATCAACGAATTATTCAATATCATTTGTTGCAAATTAACACGCCGTCCCTGTCCTTTCCTACCATTTGCTGCGCTCAACACCATCTTCGGACTCAGTTAATCGTTTGTAATAAAATTCTATTTATGCAAATCAGCAAGGTCCGCTGCTAATCTGAACTAGATCAGACAGTGCGGGAATATCGATGAATGCACCGCACTGTTGTCTTAATAGGTAGCGACCTAATAGCGGGGTCAGAGAGACACCGGCGAACGTCTCTATCGCCATGTTTCCGCGAGAGCCGTGTTGACACTGCTTACGCGGTCCGCTTTTGCTGCCTCACTTTTCTCGTTCGTTCCTGCCACTCGCATTGCGTGTTGCTGACAGCCCACGGCTGCTGCTCGGCCGCTGCGTGCGCTCTCTTCACGGGACAATGAGAAGCTGCTGACCGAATAACTCCCATGACAAACGCAACTCAACGGCGTGGTGCGCTGTCGGTGACGACAGCCGATTCGCTTTGTGTATCGTTCGTTCTGCTAACCCACTCACCCGCTTTCTTGGTTCGCTCTTTATGTGTTGCGGTGATGATTTAATTCAGATGCGCCTGATCGGTCGATGACTTGAAGGCTGTGCAGCAATTAGCTAGACGTACCGGGTCGACTTCAATGAGGCGGCAAGTGCTGGTAGAACGCAAAGGTGTTTCCACGCTACCTAGATGGGGCGGGATAGGCGCGTGAACCTGTTCTGAAAACTAGTCTGGTGCAATACAGTGAGTTAAAAAAGAAAGCAAACGCTTCTTAGGATGACGGCCATTTAGCCGTTATCCAAGCAGTATGTACAATGTATTTTAGGAACTGAACATTGAAAGAAGCGTAGCGTATCATCTTCCATAATTCTTATCATTTACGGTGGACTTATCAAATAACACCATTACGAAATCCGCATGTCTGACAAAGACGTGTGTATGCTTAGGTACGACAAAAACTTCAATCGCGCTCATTCGAATTAAAATGATTTGCACGATTTCAATGATCGTTTGACTTATTTATGGGGTTAGCAGTATTTCTTACAGCAATCCCTAATTAGCTACGGGAAATAATCCTAATTTTCTAAATTTATGCACTTCCTAAAACCGAAATATGAGAGAGAAATGAGCCTTTACTCCACCTAAATATGTTGTTTTTGGTAAAATTGAGTTGCCATTAATTAAATGAAAGATTTTTTAATCAGCTAACAAAAACACTGTCCGCAGCTTGATAAACAACAATATTGCTAGGATCGTGCTAATTTTTTTCTTCGTCACTCGTTGGTACACCTGGTAGACAGGTGTTGATGACGATGATTACGTTCGTTTTTGCTAAGCTCGGTCAATCTTCGTACAGTTATTTGATATACGAATATGTAGTCTTGTCTAGAGCTCCGCACAATTTGTCTCCTAGCGGACACTATTACGGAAGCTATCAAACTAATCTATCCGTCTATTATAGCAATAGTGGTAGTATGAATTGAGCGGGCCAATTGGCTTGCCCTTCTGCTACTAGTGCGTCGATAAGTAAATGCCGCGCCACTGTCGGTCGCCGCCCTCTGTTGTTTTTGCTGCTGCTGCTGCTGTTGTCGTTGTTGTTGTCTAGCCGGCCGCCGTTGCTGTGTCGTCAGCAGGCTAGCATAACAAGCGTTATGTGTACAGCGGCAGCACAGAATCAGTCGCGTGGGGCTGCCACCCCTGCTTATTGGCGCATGTGTCCCTCCCTATCTATCTGTCCGTCGGTCTGTCTGATTCGCCTATGTGTGTGTGAGAATTTGTTTGCATGTGCCTGGTGATTTAATGTTTCGGCGGTGAGACGGCCGACAAAAGTACTCCCTTCTCCTCTCTCTCTTCCCTCTCTCGCTCTCTATCCCTCCCTCCATCTTGTCGTCTCTGGCTCCTCGTCACTGTTCTAACACTTCTTTATCGTCACTCCTGTGGGGTTTCTCCCGTTCGATTTTGGCCGTGCCACTCTCCCCGCAATCATCGAAGTGTGCTGACCCGGCCAAGCCACGTGACCACGTGTCGACCAATGGGAGTCGGCGACCGCGCGACCATGCCACAGCTCAACAGCGGCCATAACACGAATGAACGTTCGCTCACAGCCATTGCCTCCGACGACACCAACAGACTCTGCGACTACGACGAAATGTTTTCAGTCCCTCCCCCCTGTTTCTTCGCTGTTTTTTTTCATCTGTCTGCCTCCGTAGCAGCTTGTTCGTGCTGAAGCAGCCGCGACGGCGACAACAACAACGCCCGTAGCCACAGCTAGCAGGCGGTCGGCGCCAGCGCCCGCAACAACCCGACAGACCGCGCCGCTAAGCAGCAGCAGCAGCAGCCGCCGAGAGCTTTTCGAGCGGGCGCTGTTTCTGTGTGCAGTATGTGAGGCGGCCTGTAGCGGGATGGAGTTGTGGCGATGAAGTGGGAAGCGGCAGTGAGCCGTGCTGCGGAGCTCTCTCTGTTCTGTTGTGTTCTGCTGCTGGAGCAATCGAAGACAGGCAGGGGGAAAGAAACCAGGAAGGCGGCTCTCGACAGTATTGTGAGTTGGCGGCAGCCCATCATAGCGCATTGCTATCCCCGCTACCGGCAGCTACTACAGAGCAGTAGGGGTAGTGCTGTGTACGCTCTTTCATTGTCGTCGTCGTCGTCGTCTTCATCATTTTAGAGGATCGCTTCTTCTTTGTCGTCGTCGTTCGCCCCACCATCCTTCTTCCATCTCTCTGCTCGTAGCGGCAGGACCACCATTGCTCCCACGGCTGGCTGCTATAGGCATTCGTACGCACGTAGATGCTGCGTTCTAAGCGCCACAGCAGCCTCGGCCACCATCAGCCCGAGCGGCATCGAGTGATAGTGGCAGCAGACGGTGGCGAGGCGAGTGGGTGAGTGGGTTGAATAGAGCTGACAGCAGCAGCAGCAGCATCGTCGTCACGGCAGCTAAGCAGCCAGCCATCCAGCTAACTAGAAAGGAGGCAGGCGGGTTAGTGAGCCGCTAAGCGGGCAAGCGACGTGCAAACTAGCAGCAGCAGAAAAAGTCGCGTCGTTGCTAAAACAAGACGACGACGACGGCGGCGACGACGACGACGTCGACAACGACGAGGAGTGCTGGTGAGCAAGCGGACAAACGTACAGGAGCCGTTGACTGTGCTTGCTTTGGCCGTCTGTGTTCTACTACTGCTGCTGCTGCTGCTGCTGCTGCTGCTGCGAGGAGCTGAGTGCCGCGAGCAGCCGCCATCAAGCCGCCGAGTAGGCAGCAGCAGCAGCGGCTGCCGCCGCAGTGCCACTGGCATACACAGCAATAATACTAATACAACAGTGCTGGTGTAATAGGCGAGACAACGACAGCCACAGCAACATACATTGGCATCAGCAGCAGCAGCAACGGAGTCAGTAGGCTGTGGAGAGGTGATGTGCAGTGAACAACAGTAAATGTTGATTTCCAGTGCTGTTCAACTATCTGCCTGTCTGCTTGTCTACCTAGCTTAGCCGTTCTTGGGCTACCGTTACCGTCGCCAGCAACCCTCCGCTGTAGCAGTCACCGCTGCCGGGAAAAAAACAACGCGAAGAAACAGTTCTTTTCGCTGTTGTTGTTGTTGTTGGTGGTGGTGGTGGTGGTGGTGCTGTTGTTGTTGGTGTGGTAACTGCAGTAGTAGCAGCAGCAGCAGCAGCAGCAGTAGCAATGGTGGTGCTTACCTATAGTGAGTGAATGGTGGAGCGTCGGATGGACGAGCGAGCGGCGACCACCATCACCAGCAGCACCACGGCCATAATCAACATCATCATCACAATCATCGTCAATCCTTGTGGTCTATGCCGCTACTCGTTGTAACAGCAATAAGCATCTCCCGTAGAACTGCTACTTCAGCGAACACTACTATCAGCCGTGGTATTAGTGCAACGACGACGACAACAACAACGACAACGACGACGATGATGACGACGACGACGACGACGACAACAACGATGATGATGACGATGATGATGATGACGTCCGTCAACCAAAAATACGAGAGTTCTGCTAGAATTGCTACAACAAGCACTACCAGTGCGGTGATGATCATGATGATATAAACCAGCAGCAGCAGCAACAACAACAACAACAACAACAACAACAACAGCAGCAGCAGCAGCAGCAGCAGCAGTAGTAGCAGCAGCAGCAGCAGCAGCAGCAGCATGTTGGTTTGCTGGCGGTCCAGCATTGACGGCGATACAAAACAGCGGTGCTGCTGTTAGTGACTGCAGCACGGCGACAGATCAACATCATCGGAGCCGCGACGGCAACGAATACTAGTAACAGTAACACTTGACGGTTCTCGTGGTGCGTTCTAAAAATCGGCCTACGTTAGAGTTGTATCATCCGTGGAGAGCGCTGTACAGTAGCAGGCCGTGAGTGTGGGTCGAGTTAGCACGAGTAACACTACTCAATAACAATAGTCAATCGAACGAAAAACAAAATACGCGGCCAATCTATCCCCCACGATGTTGCCTTCTACGACGAGAGTATATCTGTGTATGTGACCAGTCACCGCTATACAAAGCGGACGGCAGCTGCGGCAGTTTCATACGAGTACCATTTCTACTGCTACAACTACGACTACATTTACGAATGCTATTATCTCGTTTCGCTACTCGTACTGCTATTACGAGAACAAGTCCGTGCCGGCAATCGGGTTTGTCTGTGAGTTGTGCTGGTGCCGCCATCGAGGGCTGCGACAACAGCGGCAGCGGAACACAGGGAGCCCCGTAGCAGAGGCAAAAAGTGCTCGGCATCAGAACGAAGACCGCCAGACAGCCAATCAAGCGAACACCCCGCGAATCAGTGCCTGGTTGTGATAGTGATAGCAGCAGCACTTGCTGGCGTTGGGCTGGGGTCTGCTACCTCCGCGGCCACCGGCAGCAAAAGCAGTAGCCACCGCGGCCGCCGGCAGGAACGGCTGCAAACCGAGGCCGTGTCTGTCTGTCTGTCTGTCTGTCTGCCCGTCGCTCAGTGCCGACAATTGCAACGCGACGACAACAGTGGCAACGACAAAAGCGCAAGAAGACGACGTCAACTAATGAACGACGGTTACCATCGTCACCGCCGTTCGCTCATCACCGCCCGCAGTCTGTCCAGCAAACAACAACAACAGCAGCAGCTGAGAAAGAAGCATGTGCCTGGACTGCCTGAGACGGCGAGTGACTTAAGAAACGCAGCGGTAGGCCGTCTAGGCATCCACTATTCCTCGATGGTTGAAGCATGAAAGAACCAACGAAACAAGTAGTCATCAAGCTACGAAGGCTCTCCAAATCGCTGAACGTCCAAGGGAGCGCAGAAGTGTGCCTTAGTGGGTTACGACACCGTTCCGTTATTCGAGTTTCTACGGTGCATTGAGTCTTTGTTTCTTGTGAAGATCTGTGGTAAACAACAACAACAAGAGCAGTGTTTCGACTGAATCGCTTGTCAAAACCAGCAAATAGCCTGTTTATTCGCTAATAGTGTTCGCCGTCAGTGCAGAGTGTGACATTGAAACGTAGTAGCTAATTGTGTTCTGCCCTGGAACGATTGTGTGCTCCGCCAGGACAACCCCCGATCCCGCACTGCTCCAACCGATCCTGGTCTTGGTCTCGTTGTTGTTGTTGTTGTTGCCCTCGTTGTTGTTGTCGTCGTTGTCGCCGTTGTTGTTGTTGTTGTTGTTATTATCATCGTTACCGTAGTTTCAGTCATAGCGCTGGCAGGTAATAGTGGTAGTAAGGATTGTACTAACGTGAGTTGAGCGAAATTGCCGGCCGCCGCGGCATCGGGGCCAATCGTAACACAAACGAAGGACGGACAGCAGCTGGCATTGATACTTTCAACATTACGGCCAGCAGCGGCAACAAGAACGGCGCTACCGAATCGTCGCTGTTACTACTACAACAACTGCTACAACTATTACTGCTTTTCCTTTTTCTGCTCCCACAGCAACGACGAAGACGGAGGCAGATACACCTCTGTTCGCGTAACGTAACTGACCAAACGTCAACGAAACCAACGGCAGCAGCAGCAGCAACAACAACAACAACAACAACAACAATACTCGTATGGGGTCGCCGGTCGTCACCGCTGTTGCCCCTATCCGCGGCCGCGTTCAGTAACATCCCTTCCGTCTTGGCTACCTATCTATCTATCAATCAATCACAAAACCCTCGCGCTCACCTAGCAGGCTAGCTACTGCTACCTGTCGTTATTACAGAGCTTCTACTTCTAGCTTTACTTGTCGGTTATTATTAAGAAAACCGGGAGGAACAGAGCCGACGGCAACGACGTCGAAAAGAACAAGAAGCACGAGGCGAAGCTGACTACAACGAAAACGTTCTCTTCCCGCCGATTACTAGTGCCATTGTAGTCGACCCGCGTCTAGGCATGTAGATAAACATATATAGATACAGCGCGGGCGGGTGTATGCGTGCCTGCCTGTCTATGACAATTGTGATGGTGACAATATTGTTATTAGGCGTTGTACAACGTGCTCGCGTCCGGCAACGTTATACACGGGGCGGTAGCGAACGACAAAACTGAAAACAACTAAAACAATCTGCAACCGAAGGCAACAGAAAATGTTCTATCCAAGCAAATTCGGCAACAACGGCAGCACGGTAACGTCAGAAGCAGCACAGACGTAGGCTGAAAGAACAAAGTTTATCATTCCTAACTCTGGAGTAATTAGTTAACTGAAAGCCACTGATTAGGAATCACAGGCAGAAAGCACACGTACTCTCCGTAAGCCTCAATGGCTCAGTGCCACTCTCTGTCCACGTAAGCATTCAAGTATAATCGAAGGCCATCGCTCGAGGTTGTTGGTGCCGCTGTTCGAGATCGAACAACACACGGAATCGCAGGGGATCACCAACACAGAGTAGCGAAAGACGAAGGTTGAATCAACGCATGGAAGGTGCCGGCGGGGGCGACGGCATTACGCCACGGCTTTTCTCCTAAGGCTCACGAACGGACACCGGCAGAGAACGAAAACAAAAACGCAAACAGAAGCAGGCAGCGGGAGCGGCGGCGGCGCCGGCGGCGGAAGCTGCAGCAGCACCGAAGCAATCCACAGATAGAATCGGCCTGTGTCCTACCACTCCTCTAACCGCCCATCCGAACCTTTTTACATGCAGATTTTCTGCGTCCGACCGCTCAGTAGATCGATCAGCCGCGATTTGGCAACTGTTATTCGCAAGTATTAAATCCGCATGGTTGGCACACGGTCAAAAAACTAGAGCATTGTTTTAATTTGTTAGCAGCGCCGCCGCCGACGGCAGGCAGATATACACACGCGGAGGGAGAGAGAAGTGTATAGATACAAAGGCCGAAGTAAAAACGTAACAAGCTGCACCAACTCGCCTTGTGCCAGTAACCTCAACAACGTAGTGGGGTTCTATGTGTGTCCAGCGTTATGCGTGTGTCTGTGTCGAAGTGTAAAAGCAGTTTGGGAAAACTCTTGCCTTTTTAGGGTAACTGTATTCATTGTTATCGCAGCAGCAGTAAGAACAACAACGATTATTCCCGTCACAAATTTTAGAACGACGACGTCGTCGTTGTGTTCTGCTCATGTGGTGAGTATGTTTGGGTTTGCGAGTGGTGAGTGAGCGAATGACGCTGGAAGAGCTGTCTGTACCCCCGTTGTTCGCTCATCCAGTCGTCAGTGGTCTTTCCTCTGCAGCGGCTTCAATCAGCGGCAAAAGCGGTTGTGTGGTGTTTATTGACGCTCGGTAGCAGTTCGGACGAAGCGGACTGGTGAGGCAAGCGTGCTGCGGGCTGAAATACTTGGCTTTGGAGTTGCTTTTTTGATCGTGCATTTGAACGTGCAGTGGCATGCGTATGTCGGCGATGCTGATAGAATCGTATCGTTAATGGAATTGTTTGTCGTATGCATTATAGTGACAGCTCCTCACAGCAGCAGCAGCAACCGACTCGTCAACAACAGAAATCAAAATGAACAGCGAATGAAGTGAGAAAGGGAGGGGGACGAAGAGAACGAAATCGTTTTCTGTTGCGGTCGTGGCTGTGAGAAAGGTGGTGTTGTTGTTGTGGTTGTTTTCACGCCGTGCCAACTACCGCTATTACCGCAATAACAAATTCAATTTTAGTGTAATAGTGCCTAAGATCATGAACAGCCCGTGTGGCCGTTTTGTCCTGCAATATTGGCGGTAACTGCCGGAACATCGTCGTTCCCGACCTTCAATTCGCTGTTCAACGAACAAAAAGATTAACCAAATTAGAGCTGTAAGCGCTCTCCTGCCTATGTTCGAACTTTGGGTGGCTTTTGGCGGCAACTTCTACAATTGTTCAAACGGTAACAACAACAACAGCAGCAAACACGCCTTCAGTAGCTAGGCAGCTAGAGTTAGTATTCCTTCGCTACTGCAGGAAATAGGCTGAGTGTCAAACACCCCATATCGACATACCACCAACGATCTGTGGGAGTGCTGGTGACTGGAACCCACGTCCTTTGGACCGACACAAAACCTCCGATGCCTGTTCGCTGCAATAGCAACAGCAGCAGTAGTAGTATCTGTGACGCGGCCGTGATATCCATCACCAACAGTGACCGACCGACCGACCGACTCTCACGCCGCCGCTGACGACAACGACTACGTCCGTTCGTAAATAGAACAGACAGACAGACAGACAGACCGACCGACCGACCGAAACACATTAGCCAGATAGCCAGCCACTGAGTCAGCTACAGCCTTAATTCCTAAATCGCCATTGGCTTTGATACTCCATTTCTATAACGACAACAACAACAACAACAGCAACAACCACAACCACAATAGTAACTACTAGCGGTACTACTACTTGTCCGAGAGGTGATACTTGTTGTCGGAGCGAAAGCGCCACGAAAGTACGAGGACGATTCGAAGGAAAAAATTTGTGCTTGTTGTCGTCATTGTTGTCGCAATACTACGATCAACAAAAAGAAGCAGCAAAAAGAAAGATCAGGAAGGCAGGGCACCTGCAACAGCAGCGAAGCGAATGATTCTGTGTTGCTGCGTTGTGGATGTGTTGACCTACTGCATGATAGCAGCACGAAGTCTGTTATTAATATGATTATTGCTATTGTGTATTGCTGTTGGATATTCATCGCAATAGTGAGTGTAGGTGTAGTGTATTGTACTACCACCGTTTAAGGGCCAGTGTCCTTATACCTACATCGATCAAGAAGGACGTGTGCCAGGAGTTGTGCTGTTGTGCGTTAGTTTATTGTGCTTCTACTACGACTACGACAACTATATCACTATTGCTTGTTTTTGGTGTCATCTTCATCGTCAATGTGCTACTACCGCTACGACTGCTGGTGCGGTCTTGTTGCGATGCGGGGGGGACCAGGCTGAAAAGAGACTAACGGTGGACGGACTCTTACCGTCCAACCGGCGGCCATCAATATCCACCACCTGCATCGGCATCGAACCATGGCCCACTATCAGGGAGGACCAACTGGTGCCTCCAATGGAGCCAGCCTTGAGGACTGTCACACGAACTTCTTCGCCTTGGTACGAGAAAGCATTCCTACCATGCTGCCTTAATATTTCATTACACTCTATAGATAAAACCTAATGGGTAACAAAAGCAAAACCCCATTTATGACTTTATTCTTAGGCGTGTATATATATATATGTATGTAGACAACCAATAATCTATGATATGCTTTACTCTTGGGGTGCGTCTGTGCCGTAGGGAATTTGTATCGTAGAACAGTAAGCGGTGGATCCTCCGACTGGCCAATCACCCCTTAACTAAAAGTAGCGAACTAAACGACCCCTTACTTTTCTCCGCTTTATCTGCCGTTGGTGGCGCAAACGGCCCAGCAGCCTACGACAGTATCTCACCTCCGTATTACAGAATCTCAGCGGGGGGGGGGGGGACTCGGGTGTATTGTCATCGCACCATTCCACAATGTTGACATTGAACATAATGTGCAGTTTAGGAACACCGAGATTCGATGATATCTTTATGATCTACAAATGAGGCGTTTTTACTGTATTAATGGTATATGAGTAGACATTTGATAATCTTAAAGATTTAGTATATTACTTTGTTACCATACTATAGGATATGCAAATTTAATATTACTTTCCATGGGGCGATCATGTGGGAGGTCGTGTCTGTCACCTGTTAAGATGCTCCTGGCTCATGCATACACAATCACATCTGAATTAATTTGCTGAATCACACAAACATCTGCTCTCTTAGGTTGGCTTTTATCGTCAAACCTTCTGACAACTAGAGTTCGTTTCTTCTGTAAAAATTTTTCATTTACGTGACTATTAGTACCAGGTTGTTGCCGCATAAATCTTGGGGACGAGCATGATCCCTAATATGGACAACGGTGTACACAAATGTACTATTATGTATGCATGTACGTATGTATGCTAACGTATCTATGTGGTACCAACTTTTGAGGGCGGAGTTATTACAATACAAATAGATAGACAAATGAACGCCACTGTTGGTGCAAGCCTCCTTTGCAGATTGTGTCCTCGTCCTTTCACCTATTTAATATTATTATTATTATTATTAGACGACAAGGATCATAGTAACGATATTACCGCTGCTGCTGCAGAAATCTGTACATAATTCAAATGCTGTTTTTATATTTAGTGACCGATTTATTACTCGTGATGCACTTGAATAGCATAATTATACAATTTAAACTAGTTAATTCCTTGATTTGCAAGCCCTAATGCGTGCAGTGATTTTTTGAGAGAAAGACCCGTGTTGCCCGTGAATCGTGAGTATACTGAAACTAGAAGTTTCAATACGGACCTCAGAGTCTTAGGCTGCTAGTGTTCTTCTTTCGCACAGAGGATATGAGGATGAGAGGATATGGATTGCCAGGCATAATTCACGAATGGGCTGTTTAAAGTTCCCGGAGCGCAGTGCGTCGATTTGGCGTTTCTCGATATGAATCGATTTTATCCATTTGAAAGTCGCTCACAGTAACAATCTGTTGTGCACGTAAAAGGTGATTGTGTTCAGAAACCTATCTTCATAAAAATATGTCCTTGCATCAAAATGGTCACTGCGTAGGACCGTGTAGTCTTCCTATTTTAAGGAGCGCTATAGGGCGAGTACTCATTGGCTTTATTATTAGTAGAAGAACACCTCCTGACTTATCTTATACACTTTCAATAGAAAAAGCGTCGCAACTTAACAATGCAAAATCTGAGATGTATGAAGTTCTGAATTCAAACTGAGCGTTTCTAAACACTGGTTCAAAGGCTCAACAACCGATAGCGGTATCAGGAGTAGGGCTAACCCCCCAATGGCGATCGTTAGATCGAGCAATCTCCTTCACCCTAGCGTTCATTCAGCCGGCTTGTCGACCCTTCTTTTTCGCCTTTTATCGATTTTATAACGTTCCTACCCTCTACTTTCCGACAAAGGACACGACGTAAGCTGGAAGGAGAAGGAGCGGGCGGGCGGTAAGGCAGGTATTGTCCATCCTTGTTGAGTCTACGTGGTGGTGGTAGTAACTAATGAAGTAACGATCTCCTTCTGAATAACTGAATTCTAAATACGTAGACATATCTTAGCAACTCGACAATGTAAATGTTTGTTAAATTGGCAACCGACTGCACCGTTGTATACGCTTTAATATTTCATTGACAGTGACCACTAAGAAATACGTTACCTCATCAGGGTGTTCTCCTCCTTTTCACTGATATTAAGCATTTACCGGGAACCTTTCACTATTTACCAAAGCCGTTTTTCCTCAATGGCGGCAGCCCGACTCCTACCTCTGCTTCTCATAGCCCATACCGTGTTTCATCTTGGAGTCAGCAACAGCTACAGACAGGTGGTGGTGGGTGCCCTTGAGCAGCCACTGCAAATTGATT